GGGGAAAGGTACAATATCATTTTATGCATGAATATTGAATACTGGATCCTCAGTACCATGTACTATGGCCTGGGTGCGCTACTTCACATTTTCAAGTTTGCGCTGCATGCCATGTATGGTAGCGTGCATGTATTCTATCCTCCTCTACTGGTTTGGCAACAGTCACATATATAGCCTGAGAGTCTTAATGTGTTAACCTGAATTTCGGTCACGAAGTTGGGCGTTGACTCTGATTAGAATGTACAGATAATCTCGAACCGGAATAACCCGGCACCACTATACATCCAGCAGCTGAGCGCACGCGCCGCGACTGTTCGTTCCTTGCATTCGTTTCTCTCTCTCAGCACCCAGCGCTCAACAACGATCGAGCTGGTTCCCCGAGATGATGTTCAGGCGCTCAAGTCGGAGCTCGAAAGAAAGACGCTCTTGAAGGAGCAAGAGCAGTCACTGAGCTCCCTTCCATCACGACGCGTACTAAAATGCTCGACGTGGCACGTGCAATAGCATCATCAATTTCGTGACAGTTGCAAATGTTGATTATCAGGAGAGCATTTCTCGGAACGTCTTCTCTTCCCTACTAGCCACTTCTCTTACTACTATTTCATTTTCAAGGCCCTTCTCATCGAGATGAACACATTTTCCGTCCATGTGGAACATTCACTTGGCCCTTCGTCACCCAGCTCATCAATACTTCCAAGAGCCATATTCGAAAATTCACTGCGTCCTCGAATTCCAATTCGACGTTTGGCACTCTTGTTTCAGTATCTGTGTCCATCTTCTTTGAGGAGGTCATCTACTTTAACCCTCGCAAGTTCCTATGGCATGCACATGGATGCGGAAGGTGATCTGTTCAAGACTTCTTCGGACTTCCGCTCTTCGCGTCCTAGACGCCGCACTTTGATTTGTACCACCTCCCACTTCTTTGTACGACTGCCCTCGTAGCCTCACGCGTCTATCATATTCTATGACAGGAAACTGGATACGACACGTGTATATACTTGTGGTCGCACTTTATCAGCGTGTACATGAATTAGAAGAAAGGTTGTGGATTTTCGCTCATGTTGTGATTAAGCATTGGGTTCGAGTGAGTACAGTGAATTTCAAAGAAGAATATTGCTAACCTTGAGAGAAAACGTCTTCATACCTTGTTCAAACCTGTGTTAGATTCGTGATCTTCCGATATGATAGTGTCGTTGTTGTGCTGAACCCAGCAATACCGAAAATACCCCGAAGATCGCGCAACATAGCACGTTGCCAAGATCACGAACAGTTCTCTGATCGATCTTTTGCGACATTCAAACATTCCGCGCGAGTCACTGCTTTACGATTTCATGAAGAATCCCTACCTTGATCCCATCGGTATCCTTGGATACACATTCTATTTCTACTGAAACTCATACTGAATCACTTGCTTCAATCAATCAGATATCATTCCTCACTTTGGCGATGTAAGCGCTGGATTGTGGCATATCAAGCACAAATGTGATCGTTATACGTACACCAAGTTCCCCCGCTCACTCATTCCCACCCTCTAATAGTATGACTCTAGTCTCGAACGATCCCAGTTGGTGGCCATTCATCAATGCGAGTCTTATTGGCAGCTATTTTATTGGTTCGTGGAGAGTCAGCCGCATGACAACGTTGATGACTCGATTAACCTTGGCTGCGGTCTTTGCAGTTGCTTCCTCTGTCGGGATAATATACGATTGGGGTGAGCAAGACTAAGTATGAAAGGATCACCGGCATCATTATGGTATCTCTAGGACTTACGTTTGGACAAGAGGTAGGTTGACACCATTATAGGAGCAGCCATCTCGCTGAGAACAGTTTTTTAGGTTGAACTGATTTGGGTGAGCGGGCTCCTCCATCAAAAGAACGATACGAAAATACAACATGTTCACGGCAGAGGCAACGCTGGTCCTTGATGACCGTACTGTATCTCAGTGTACGTACCTTGTTTTTCAATATTTGCGCTTAGCGAGTCCAAATTTTGCTGACTTCAGAATATCCTAGGTGCGCTATGTTGGAATAGGATATGCGGTGTACGTTTGGACGTTTAAGCCATTGATGTTGCACGCTTTACCCATCTCTCATATCAGGATGATCACCCTATGTATGTCTCCTCGCATAGACTCTGTTTCTTTCTTGTGACAGACGACATACAGTCAGTGTTCCAACAATTTCGAAGACAGATGCAGTGAGTCTTCCACGTTGATGCCTTCCATTCCCGTCCAAAGACTGAACTACCGTGCAGGGGTGAGTGAGATTCTTGAACAACTTGTTGATCCAACGTAACGGCTCCCGCAGTTGTGGGTTTGTTTCAAGCCTGTGATCCTCCGAAGCTGATAACTAATGTTGCTGGATTTGTCAGGCCTTATCATAAGCGATGCGGTTAACTGGACGGGTGAGGTTGTAATTGTAATGCTGGGCGGTGAGCTGTACACGTCCGTGATATTAACTTGACTGAAACATCATGCAAGCCATCATGATCGCTCGGTTATATGCCATGTATCAGCGATCCAGGAAGATGCTGATATTTCTCGTTGTCATCTTTCTGGCCATCAGGATCGCGAATGCAGTGATAGTCGCAATAGAGATGACGCAGTTTTCAGGGGGTAAGGTTTAATTATGTATGAAAGTTCAAGTGCACCAAGCCTGTTGACAAATACTAGAGGAATTCGTTCTCTCCGGTACCTATCAGTGCATAATTGACATCAAGGTGGATTCCTTCTTTCTGGTTTCCGTGACTTGGATACTTGGCACTGTATGGGAGGTCATTGCACTGTGTCTCGTGGTCTGGATTGCTGTAAAGCACTTCCGTGAACTGCGACGATACTCAACAAGTGGTATTATCGGGGATTGTTTCACAGTGTTAATGCAAACTCACATTGCTTACTTTGCAATGTGAGCTCATCATGCGAATGTGATTATCTTGTTTTGCTAATGTTTGTACGTGCTAGTTTTCTGGCCGTGTCTTGCTTTCCACATCGGTATGTTCTCTCCAACACTCTCAGCGGTATGTGGATCTGTCATGGACCTTTACATGCGACCATGATCCATCATCTCTATAGGACCCATATTCCCTGGAAATTCAGATTTATTTTGGTTTCGGTCAAATCCTCGAGATCGTGCAGCTGTTTGTGCTGGGACCATGCCTCATCCTCGGTGTCCGAGAATATCACGCTGAACTCGTGGCCAACCCTGATACAGCAACCATTATGACTTCAGTTGCTTTTCAGGAGCGCGTCCATGTGCCAACCAGTGGTAGTGTGTAGCGCAGGAGATGCTTGATCTGAGTGATTTGCGATTGGCGAGTAGTGTGCAGGAAGCAGATGAATTTGTTTTTATTTATTCCAGGTTTTGTCGTGGTACCTCGCTCATGTACAGATATCCTCGCTCATACTTACAGTCCTGCCTATTCTCCTTTTTATTTTTGTAATTTACACCAAAATTTACACTTTCATCAGGCGTCCATATAGCACGCCGTCAAGTCATACTTCGGTTTTGGAGCTACTCGAGGAGTCATCTGACATGATCAAATTCGTATGCAGGTATCGCCACCTGCTTGCGTCCCACCCGAGAACCTATTAGATCATGGCAGCGACTTTCGAGTCAGGTTTCCAATTCCTCTTCCCATGCAGCTACATATGCATCCAAATCTGATCTTTCCATGGTTTTTGGCAGCTGGTGCTCTCTCATATCTGTTGTAAATTGGACGTGCGGTGTTGTCTATATTGCGACAGATATCAACCGGAAGTTGAGACTGAGTCTGATGCATCACCAACTGCACGATGCATAGAGTGCGGCTCAGTGTGGTACGTGATCCATCACATTCGAACCATGCTGACCACTGCCATCTGGCATCATCATGATATGATCGGTCGAGGCAGAGAACGACAGCGAGAACGAGAAGGTGTTTCAGACGCTGAAGATGAATCAGAGCAGGGAAATCAGGCATCGAGTGGTGTGCTGGGAGGGGTAGCCCGGGTGAATTGCATTCAGGCTACTCTCATTTGTCCGTTTGAATCTCATGTCTGGTGTTATACCGACAGGATGTGAACTTGTTTGAACAACATTCGAGTGAATATCAGTGACTTGTCAATACTATCTTGCTCACCCCAATCGTATATTAACCCAACACAACCGGCAACTGCAAAACCATAGCCAAGGCTAGGTCCAAACGTCACCGCCATGACCCGACTAGCTTGCCACGAACCTAGAAAATAACTGGCAATACGAGCTGTATTGATGCTTGGCCACCAAATGGGATCATTCGAGACCATGGTTATACTGCTCGAGAATGGAGGTAAATGAGTAGCGAATTGAGGATGATGGCATTCGCGCGCTTTTATTGCCGAAACGAAAGATGGTATCACTGCCGTGATTGACGGTGCTCATGATAAGGGGAATCACTGGCACATTAGGCTCATCGAAGACCAGCCTGGCTTATATAACCACGCGTCAAAATTTCCCACTCTCAAAAGACATAGTACATCAGACTGGTCTCACATAACGAAGACCAAGTTGGTTGTGAAACAACTACAAGCAGTCACATGCAGAGTGTTTCTCAAAGAACTGTTCGTCATTTCTGCGACTTTTTTCCGCGATGCCATTCTCGAGATATTCAAGCTGGTCGTTCCGAAAAGCAAAGTTGCGCACTGTACTTCAAAGCTTGTGCTGTGTAACCATGATAGACTTACAGTTGGCAGAAGTAGTGAATCCCGGGTAAATAAGGAGAACCAAGGTGTCGTGACGTACCTCCCAGCGCATCTTTGATTAATTGGTGCGTTTGCCACCGTGACGCCACGTCTCAGGATCTTACCTCTTCCCCAAATGTACCAAATAGCCTACTACACGCAGCAAGATCCGGAATATGGTTGATATTTTCGACAGCGCCCAGGCCAAGTGCGTCCGCGCACTCATTCCTTATAAAAAGCCTACGACCCGTCATTCAATCACCTTCACGTCCTCTTACACACCGACTCAGCGTGTTCACCTTAATGCCAGTCCCCCAATGGTACGATCACAGATTTTACCTATCGAGAGTCGTGGTGGAAGAATCGTGGTACGAGCTTCGTTAAGCATATACAAATTAATAATGTGCTTGACCATCCAGGCATCCTGATGCTAAACATCTGTTTGATTTTACCGCTCTTATCATCAACGCTTAATGGCTTTGATTCATCGATGATAAATAGTTAGTCACAAACATTTGTTATCATGTTCGTGGATGGTTCAAGTTGACTCGCGTTACCTTAGATCTGCAGATCTTGCCCGGATGGCAAGAGTACTTCCATAAACCACAGGGCATGAAGTTAGGTACGCAGCTGCCGGCTCTCCTGTAACAATTTTATTCATTGTCGTTAGGACTCATCAATTGTGCACATGACATCGGCATCCTCAGCGTAAGTTGTAGCACTGTGTTCGTATCACTACCGAGCTCATGCTGGCTCTCAGGGAACTCCATTTTCTCCTTATGTGTCTGATCTATTAGGACGGCGAGCAACTATGTTTATCGGGGCGGTCGTCATGCTAGCCGGTATTCTTACGCAAGGCTCATCCATGACCATACAAGTCTTCATTGGCGCTCGTGTGCTTAGTATGATGCACATTCAAAAAGTCATTCATATACTTATCATCCATGTCTTAGTCGGCTTTGGGATGGCTTTTTCCATCAATGCTGCTCCCTTGCTCATCAGCGAACTTAGCTATCCAACACATGTGCGCTAAATCACCTCGTATCTCATTCATCGGCTCTAATTTCATTTCAGCGCGGAAAAATGACCTCTCTGTACAATTCGATGTGGTATTCTGGCAGCATCATTTGTATGTGAGATCCAGTGTCACACATTTGATCTCACACATGTCTGGCAGCGGCTTGGATCTGCCTGGGCAGTTATGATGATACGGGGACATCGCCGTTGTCATGGAGGACCCCTTCATACGTTCAAGCAGTCATTCCTATCATTCAAATGGTGCTAATATGGTAGGTCTGTTAGCTCGTGCTTTGCTCGAAGTGACTCAGCGCCTTCAGGTTCATCCCAGAGAGTCCTCGATTTCTAATGGCTAGAGGCTTGGTTAGCATTCATGACGATACACTTCATTAAGTAAATCATCGAATAGTCATCTGTTTCTTTCCAGGAATCGCAAGCTGCACGTGTCCTCGCTCAGTGCCATGCAAATGGGGGGGACGAACGCAACCCTCTAGTAGTCTTCGAGATGGCTCAAATCCGACATGCTTTGAACCTCGAACGAGAATTCACTTCTGGAAAATCCTACTTGAGGTGCTTCTCAACTCCGGGCAACAGACAGCGCATGTTTACCATCATATGGATCGCAGTATTCTCACAGTGGAGGTTTGATCAATTTCGTTCTAGTTTGATGACTGGCATTGATGCTCGTTTCAGCGGCAATGGTCTGGTATCGTATTATATCAACACAGTCTTGAATGGGGTGTACGTTTTTGAGGACGTCGGATGGTATTTAGCCTGACGGCCGTTTCAATAGCGGGATCACCCAGACTCGAACGAAAGCAGCTATTAACGGCGGTCTGCAGGTTCATCCATGGTTTCTCAGAAACAGAACTTAAAATTAATGCGCATTTCACGCGTTCAGACTTTTAATTTGGTCAGTGCGCTGGTGAGTATGATGATGGTGGACAAACTGGGGAGGAGGAGAATTTTCTTGATTTCAAACATTGGCATGCTCATAGGTCGGTATTGCTCTATGACGCTGAATTGAAGGCTTATAATCTGTCCAGCCTTCGCTATGTGGACGGTCACGACCGCTCTTTTTAGCCAGTGGGGGAATGTGGTAGCTGCGAGAGGCATGTTCAACACCTTGTATGTATGCTGGCGCAAGCTAATGATCAAGTTCGAACAGCTACCGTGCCGCTCATTTTTATATACTTTTTTTTCTACGACTTTGCGTATACGGCGATGCTCGTGTTATACACGCTCGAGATTCTGCCTTATAATATTCGTGCCAAAGGGTTTGCAATTATGGTTGGTCGCTTCCATCCTATCTCTGAATGCCCCCTAACGTCGTCTACAGAATATTACTATCTATTCCACCAATGCTTTTAACTCGCTTGTCAATCCTGTAGCCCTGGACACCATAGGATGGAAATACGTAAGTTGTCAGGCCTCATTCATGCGATCGATCGACCTTTTTTGCACAGTACCTCTTTTACTGCGGATGGCTTATCTTGGAACTCCTATTCGTGATGGTGTATATCGTCGAGACGAGAGGTGATTGTTATCTCTTTGCCTCATCGAGCTCTTGTGGACTGTTACTTTTTTTAGCTCGCACTCTGGAAGAAACCGCTGCTTTGTTTGACGGCGTTAAAGTCCATCGGGGTATCGTGGAGCGGACGGATGAAGCTGGCATGACTTTAGGCAGAATGTCACCATACCCTGGACTTCAGGACAATCCCGGAGCAGTGGAGACTGCGAGTTCTGTTTCGCGATCGTATTTCGAATCTCAGTCTGAAGAATCCGCTGTTGCGTTTGCCAGATAAATTCACGATTGCAGTTCACGATTATTGTATGTACTAAGAGCGTTCAAATGCTGCAGGGTTATGTTCGGAGTTGGTTGATTAGGGTAGTCAGACAGAAAACCGGTGCATTATATTCTTATTAAGTTTCTAGGTTATTGTGCACCTTGGAGATCGTGATGGTTTATTCCCTCTCCTTCGCCACCTCTGGCCACGATATGACGTCTCCCCACCTAAGTACAGGCGCTTGCAGACTGTTCACAGATTATCACTGCAAATCGATGTAATGAAGGGGTCGATCTCTGTCAGTTGTCACCTTGTCGGCCGTCAATATTACCAGCGGGGAATCGTCGCAATGATAATGGGACAGGTTTGAGTTGATAAACTTTGATTATGGATGACATACTTTAGTGCACGAAGCTCATTGGCGAATACCAGAGGAGATCATTCTGTTCAGCATCCATCAATGCGCTTCTGAGTTGGATGCTTCCCACTATATGAGAGGTCCTCGTGCTATATCTCGCAGCCTAATGTTCAAACGTTGGACGCTCCATATGTCCGCAGTGCTGCAGCTGCAGCTACCATGGATGTCCCGCCCGCCCAGATTGTTTTCAATTTTCATGGGAGCGTAAGGATCACGTGTAAGTACCTCCAATGATTGCTTTCATGGGAGCCTAGTGTTGCCTAAACTCACACGAAGGGAGGGTGGCAGAACTTGGCAGAACTCCAGTGTATCCGAGGACCGAGACTCGCGATGTTCCGGGCCAGTTGGATCGGGTCGAACAAGGAATCATTCCACAAGCTGATCTAGATGAGATTGAAGTGGTTAATTACAGTGGTGGGGATGAGGGATGGGATGGAGCAACATTGATGTCGTCGTCAGGAATGCCATATACACATAGTCTATCGGAATAGCCTAGAGTTTTGTTGCCCCGGTAAAACAACCACCGCGCCGGTTCTGCCGGTTATAACCGGCAGAACTGACCCGAAGTGGTTCTTAGAGTTAGACTGCCTACACTATTTCAGGTTTTCATCTAACAGTGCATAGCAGTACTTAGACTGGTGACCAGCCCGTCTATGAGGCACTAGGCGTTGCGTTTACACAGCTCCATCGCACTGCCCCGATTCCACCGCCTTTGTTCTTCCTTTTCCTTTATTCATAACCTTCCACTAGTTTCCCGCTTGGTCATGCAACCGTACAGGGGCGTGTAAAACATTGATCGGGGTGTATCTGGTCGTGCATCTGTACTCATCATGTGCATGATTGATTTGGCGCTGTATGTTTTACATTAGTTTTCATCAGAGCCACACAGCGCTGACTATACTTTGCGAATGTTTGTGACATTATAGCCCGATGTCCGAGGCACTCGGAGAATGACGAGGTGCGCAAAAGGCGAAAGGCGCTGAGGGCGGCGAAGAGCAGGTATGGAGAGATGTGCTCCGAGGGGTTGTTAGCAGCCCGGGTGGGACAGGTGAGTTATCCGTTCGCTTCATTTGGACCTCCCATACTTTTCGTTTCCAACTTTTCTGGTTTCACGCCAATATAACGTGACCGTGTTGAGTGACCTTGGACAAGCTGGTATACTCCCAGACCTGAGTGAGCAAGTGGAGGTTCACCATTAGCATCAACTTTGATCCTATGAGTCAGGACCGGCGTGGAGTACCTTGACTTCCTTTTTCTTACGAAATTACTGAATGTGGTCATTCAAAACAGGACATCCTGTAGTTCTTATTTCGGCGGTAAAAACGCTGGATGGTGGAATATTTAGCATGGACGATGCCACCCGTTACCAGGTTCGCGCCCACCCTCTAACAACATGACCTTAATCTCAAATGATCCTGTTTGGTGGTCGTTCATGCTTTCGACCCAAATGACCAGTTATGTTGTTGGTTCGTGGAGAACCAGTTGGATGATGCATGGCGATGTGATGATCTAACCTCACGATTTCGCAGCAGCCTTCTCTTTTGCGGTGATATATGATTGGGGTGAGCAAGATAGTATTCAAGTATCACTGGTATACTTATGGTGTGTTCCAGTATTGACATTCGGACGAGAGGTAGGTTGGTATCATTACCGGAGCATCCATCTCTCTAATAATGTATTTACAGATCGAATTGGTTTGGGTAAGCAGAGTCTTGCAACAGAAAACACCCAAAAATATAATTAATGCGCGGCAGAGGCAACATTGGTCACTTATGACTGTTCTGTATTTCAGCGCATGTATTTTGTGTTAGTTGAGACGTTATACTGACTTGACAATGTTCTAGGTCCGCTACGCTGGTATATTGCATGCTATGTATGTTTAGATGGCTAAGCAATTGATGTTGTGTTAATCAGCTGTCTCTTATACTCAGCATCAACATTCAGTGTATGTCTATTCACATACATTGTTTTTTTTCCTTTGATCGATAGCATACAGTGTCCCTTTCGTCAAATTCGGTGACAGATTCAGTAAGTATTCTGCACCGCTGCCTGCCATTCATATATGAATCAACTGCACTCCCCTGTAGGGGTGAGTGAGTTACGAGCTTCCTAATTCAATATAGTGATTGCTGTAGCTGTGAGTTTATTTCAAGTCTGATCATCCGAGGTTGTTAACCAACGTCACTTGATTTTTCAGGTCATATGATGTTCGACGTACTAAGTTGGATGAATGTCGCCGTGACTGCAATATTGGGCGGTGAGCTACGCAGCTGCATTACGTTGATTGGACTGACACATCGCGCAAGTCATCATGATTGTTCGGTTACATGCCATGTACCAGCAATCCAGAAAAGTACTGATATCTCTCGGCGTCATCTTCCTGGCTGTCAACATCGCCAACGGAGTGATCACTGCAATGGTTACGAGTCGTGTTTTATCGGGTAAGCTTTAATTCTGGTGGATGGCAGACTTGAATACGTGAGGCCCATTGCAAATACCAGAGGTGTTCATTCTCTTCGGCAATGCTCAGTGCACTTCTGACTTTCAAGAAGGCTCAGATAATCTACTTCTGGCTTTGATGACTTGGGCTTTCCCCGCTGCATGGGAGGTCCTTGCACTATGTCTCGCAGTCCGGATTGCTGTCAAACGCCTCCGGGAGCTGCAGCGACCATTGTCAGGATGGCTTAATGCTGGGGACTGTTTCGCGGTGTTAACAAAAACCCACGTAATTTACTTTGCAAGGTGAGCTTATGATGCGAATGCAACTATCATTTCCTGCTGAAGTTCTGCACCTTTAGTTTTGTTGCTGTTTCTTGCTTCATCCTCCCTTATGTGCTTGTAACGACCATAGCGGTATGTCGATGTGATACTGACGTTTGCATGCGACTCTCGCTCATCATTACCACAGGACTCAATTGTTGCGGAACGTCGGATTTATTTTGGTCTGGCCCAAACTTTCATAGTCACAGTGATGTGTGTGCTGGGACCACACCTAATCCTTGGCGTTCGAGAATATCACGCGAAGCTCGTGGCTCACTCCGAAGGAGGGCCCGACATGCCTTCGATTGCCTCTCAAGAGCGTGTGCATGTGTCAACCAGCACCAGTGTGTAGCATGGGACATGCTTCCCGTGTTCGCTGCATGTCGGGTACTCTGCAGGGAGGGAGGGAACTTGTTTTATGTTCGAAGTTTTCATCATGATACTTTTGTCTAATATACATAAGCACGCATTTCCGGCGGCTCAGTGTCAATTGTGTCCACCCCGTCATGCTAATATCCTTAATATAGATTCCAAGTAGATTTGTTAGAGAACCTATATATCTGGACAAAGGAATATACATCGTACATATTTATTAGCGAAAACAAGGTTTCTGTTAGGCGTTGTGAGATGACGGTAAGTTATCCGAGTCGGGATCGGAGTAAACGAATTCTCCCAAATGTTGTCAAGAACTGTACGAGTAGCCGTTAGACATGTTAGAAGCCAATACGGCCGATGGTCTTGTTTGAGCATTGCTAGAGATTATATATCAGTTGAGTGATACAGTAAAAGGAGTGCATGCTGTCTAGCAACAGGACTGGCCGGGAAATGAATGGCAGACCGATCGACTGATAAGGTCACACGCGGTATCTCAGCCAAATACGTCCTCAACGGAACTATGACACAAAGTTGTCGTTCATTAGCCTGCCGTTTGGCGTTCAGGTTTATGGAACTTGTTTCCGTTTTCGTTTCGATTCACGAGCCCTGGCCAGTAATTTCTGTGAGACTTAGGAATGTGTCGTACATAAGCTCTGAGCCGTTTCCTCTGCTTCTGTCATATATACACTGCTGGAGCAACAATCAGTGAGAAGCAACCGTCACAGAAAAGTAGAACATTCCACTGTAGTTACAGCGTGCAATAGTGTACAATCGACATCATCAAACACCAATCCGCCAAACGGGTAATTATGATCAGAGCACTCAGCACGTATGTCATTAATAAACCCCAGGAAGCAATCTATATTTCACCTTCTTGGCCCAATACTCCCAATCCTCTCCAAGAGCACGCTGCAGCATCTTGTCCTCCACTGAAGATCGGTCGATGCCAACTAAAGCGGTTGCTGTATACATGAAGAGGACAATCGTTGTTAGTACCTTCATGCAAGGCACTTGGAGAATTTCAGACTGCCTCATCCACGACCCTTGGCTCCCGTGCATGATGACAATCCCGACATATTGCAGAAGGAAGCCAGTGTAGCTTGGGTGGCGGACGATAGAGTACGGGCCGTTTGTTACGATTTTGTGCTCTTTTCTGACGCTGAGCGGGAAGCTCCAAAACTTTCCCAAAGTCAACATGCAATAAAGCCTGAGCACGCCTCCGACTATGATAGAAAGACTGCCAGCAAGGAAAACGGGAGTGATTGGCGTGGGGTGAAGTGTGCGCAAAAACCGCACAGCGCTAGCGCCATAGACGCTCGCTGGAATATGCGAGGGACCTATATGCACAGCGAGAATGCTGGTCACTTCAACAAGTGATGCTGCCCATGCGCTAATCTGTTATATTGTCCACCGATCCATCCAGACAAAAATCGATATATGGGAGAAACACACCTTGGATGACTCTAGACCCTGAAGATATAGAAACAGGCTGATAAATGATTCGGACACCGATAGCACCACCTTCTCTTGAGATGACGGTGGCAGGGAACGAGAAGTCACCGAGATGTGTATGCAAATGGCCGAAGCTACGAGGAAGGGGATCTTCAAAAGACTCATGCTGCATCGCTGAACCTGCGATAAGAGTTACTTTAAATACCTGAAAGTCGACTCCTCCATTCCTACGCCACAAAACCCCCAAGGGATAAATTTGAATCTTTGACATGAGTTTTGCAGGGACTGATAAGCTGTCAAACCTTCCTTGAACGTGATCCTGCCGTCTAGGACTCAGCTATCGTCAGGCCCCTCCAGTATCATTATGTAGAGTACGCTCAGTAAGCCCCAGACAAAAGTAAGAATGCGTGCTTTTTGCTAGGGACACGTTCAGTGGGGGCGGATCGAATCTCATTCTTATTTTGGCCTGCGCGAGCGTCACGCCCGTTTGAGATCAAAACCGTAGAACCTTGGCTTCGCCTTGTGAGTATAGAACGGACGGCTTCAATAACGCAAATTGTGCGAAATTATAGAGAGTTGTATGGTCACTTTGAAGTGACTGTACTCACTAAAAGAATAGTGATCAGTAAAGATTTGGCAAAGTAGAATTGAGATGACGGCGAGTTTCATGTCTTGCGAGAGTGCCTTTGCACGCATCTGAGCACGTGTACAATGGTGCTGAGAGTACTAGTATGGACAAGGGCGTAGATGATAGTGAGGTATGAGGACGTGGATGGTGATGAGGGTGTACATAAGCATGGGTCGAGTGGAGGTTTTGACTTTGTTTCTGATGATATAAATACTGATGCTCATTGAAAAGCATAAACGGCCCGAAAGTCACGTGACTGAAAAACGCTCGACAAAAGTTGGTACATACATATTCAAGCCTGAACAGTGAAAGGTCTTATAGCAAATTTCATAGCAAAACAATCTCATCCAAGCGCAACCCATCCACACAACTCCATTTTATCACTGATCTCCGTCGGCATCCTCAACACGCTCTCCTTATGCAGCTCATTAATATTACACCTCTCCGAACATAGCACAAATCTCCCAAGCCCTCCCTCCCGTCCCGCGAATATACACACCGTTGGTGGTCGCTCCGCACGGAAATAGTACATCGTCGACGAGCACGTGTCGATGAGTGTATAGATGTGTCCCGCATCTGGTCCGCTATCTGCTTGTTTGGCATTGCTGTATTGTGTGGGCGACCCTGCCCGTTTCGTGCCTTGTTCTGGAGCCGAGAACTGTGATCCGCTCGGCGTGAAAAACATTCTTGGGAAGTGTTCACCAGTGACAGCACCGTATAAGTGCCTCTCTGCCTCTGCGATGCTGATGACCCCTTTCACTCCGATGAACCATGGTTGTGAGCTGAGGATACGCCCAGATTGACTGTAAACGAACAGCCAAGGGGAAACAAGGAGGAGCACGACTCCAATTACGACGAGTGTGATGTCTCCCGCTCGGTTGGTCGTAACAATACATAGTCCAGAGATAATGATTGGCCACGAGAGATACGGAACGAAACCGATGATGGACCTTTTCAACGAATTTGTGGTTGCGGGTACAACCTCCGGGAAACCTTTCCATCTGATAGCTGCCGCCCGACACCCATCAACCACAAGAGCTCCATTCTCCGTGATACCAGCGACCTGGATCTCCGGTAGAATATCCCAAAGGTTGGCACCGTAGATATCATCGTCAGAGTACCAACATGCCTTCTCGGTGATGGTCGAAGGCAGCATGGATACCATCCGCTCAACGATACGGTCATCGTCATTGGCCATTGACAGCCTCACAAGAGCGTGCATATCGTCCTCCGAGTGGTTTGGCTGAATCCGGTGCTCAAAAAAGCCCATCAGCGCATACACATGCTGAGCCTTGTACACGTCGTGTGCCGCATTGCGCCGCCATATAGCTGATTTCAACAGCATCAAGCGCTCCAACCTCTCAAGCGGATCCTTCCCGCTGTACGCGTTGATGATAGCCTGTTCGATATCGTAGCATGTATAGGCCAGGTTGGCCAGCTGAAACAACGACAACGGCATAACCGCTTCCCGATCTCGGAACTTGTAGCAAAGGTGGGGGCTCAGGAGGGCTTCGGGCATAGTCCACACCCGTTCACCCCAGCCTCTCCAGCATTTACTCTCCCCATCCGCAAATTTGCCGAGAATGATCAAAGTCATCTCTGCTCCACGGTAGACATCTGCCATGCAGTACACATCCCGATTCTTCTCTGACGGCATCTTTCCTACACACTCCAAGTCAAGCCAATATGCATTGTATTTCTGTCCGAGCACCGCTGCACGAACCTCCTCTATGAACTGAGCCGTTTCTGTCTCCTGATCTGGGCCTTTAGCGTAGGCATCAGCGGAGTAGAAAGAGATGGCGATGAATTTGGTATGGATGATGATGTCGCGATCTGCACATGGGACCCATTCATTTCGGATCGGGTCGTGGATGATAAGAAGTCGAGGATAAAGGGTACGTGTGGGGATATCCATCTCGCCCTCATCGATAGTGCGCGAAGAATGCTCAATAGGCGAACGAGCTGCCCATAGCTGACCACTGAATCGGCGAGCATACCGTTTGTAGTATCCAATGTTATGTATCTCCGTATCCCCCCAACTGTCATCCGCCATCTCGGCGGAAACGAAAATCTGTACGAGCAGCCAAACGAATGACAATAAGAGCTTCAATGCAAACAACGACAATAAGCTAATCCATTTAAAAGTGAACCACCATCGAATAGAGGAATTGTCTAGCAACCGCATGGCGATCTTGCTTGCCTGGTTGTTGCGGTTGCTGATGGCAACTTCGTGTTTGCCGAGGGGAGTGACGGCTTGCACGACAAGCTTTTGACAGATTCCAGTGCTAGGGCTGACATATCTTTGCTCTAGACCGTGTGTTTCTGGCTTGCCCAAGTCATTGTAGCAAGTGATGGTTTGTTCTTGCGTGACTGGGAGACGCCAGCGCATCATGACCGATACTGTTGAAAGCGTCAAATAAAGTTAGGAAACCCACAGGACTTTTGAGCTGTCTAGACTTACGATGAGCAGAGATACACGAACAGGTGTGCTACCTGGGATTACTACCCACAGCAACACCCGAGCACTACCAGTAGTACCTTTATATTACGCTTACGCATGCATAGCTTCAGACATCTTCTGCGTATGTGTTATGATAGATTATAACCCCTTATTCAGCTGCATCAGTCACGGTTGCGCAAAGATGATCACAATAATAATACTTCTTGATGTGCTTCATGATAGAGGCTATGCGGTTTGGGCGCGATACCAGTGCATTTCAAACATGCCCTAAACCATGTAACTATCATAGTATGGTAATCATTGTAGGTCCTGAATCAATTGTTATTATTATCTCCACAGCTGATACGGATGAAACGAATGGCAAGCACCGTGACAGATCCTTTGGTCAGAAGGACAAAATACGTAGCACCATCGCATAATGATATGACCGATCATCGAATCGATCATACCTCATGCACAAAATCATTAGCTGTAAGTAGTTCAAGGATACTTTTGCGGCGATGCACTCGCTGAGGAGGCTAGCTAGCACCATGCAGACAGAGCTACAAATCAACTAGTGTGGCAACAGACCCAATATTGCGCGCACCTATGATAATTCAGAGCGCCTTCTTGGCAGGCACACTCGTGATCGCGCCAGTGATAGTGGCGACGGCTAACTATCGAATATTAAGTTCACCCGAGCCCAATGACACTTGTCAAGACTCCCCTCCTGGGAGGCTCAAATCTTGGGCGCTGTGACAGAACGGCTCTAAAAGTAAGGTGAGCGCAACCCCACCTCTGATCAGACCTAGGCAGATGATGCATGTAATTATATCCTTCGCGGCAATCGGACAAAGTGAACCGGGCACGGGGTAAGGCGAGGCGCTCTTGATTATCGACAACGGGTCTGGTCAATTCTAAACTGTAGTTGTCAATGTCGACTTCAAGACTTTACGGCCGTCCTCTCGTAAATTACTTACGTGGATCCTAAACATTATGTAAACATTTCCTGATTTGGCCATAACAGAACCTCCGCATGCCAGTCGGTCTACACCTTGTTTGCACCTTGTGACTCAAACCTTTCCATGTAGTTACCCATTGCCTGAAGGTCTGAAGACTGAGCACTGAAACACTAAGTATAAATTTGATTTACTCCCACTCCTTGCTTCCCTCAGCTTTGTAGGAATGCTGTACTTAGTTCTGATGGGATGGGAGGAAAAAACAAACTCGAAGATTGTGAAGAGAAGAGGATTGGAAGAAATGTGGGATTTGAGTTTGACTGACATTAGTTGGATTATTCTGTTGAGAATGTAATTTGTTAGAAGTGACATTGGTGAAGGTGACATCTGAAGAGAGAGGTTAGTAAACCATGAAAGCTTTGCTTTTGTGGTTTAGTGGGGAGGGTCTGGCTCCACCAGACTGCATGTGTGCACAGGGTCTGGGAAGAGTGTTCTGAGTCCAGTGGTTTGAGCTTGAAGATTGAGTTTGTGAAAATAAAAACCAGATGTGGAGGGGACAGACCCTCTGAGTGTGTTGTGACCGAGTCTTGGGGTGTGGGATGAAAGGGACTGCAGAGAAGAAGAGAAAAATGAGACCAGACCAGAGGAGGAGACTTGAAAACGTCTTGAATATGAGTTGAGTGACTCTTCAAGGCGCCTGACCCAGACACAACACAAGATGTGAGAGAGGACAAAGGAGACACATAGATTCACATTGTTACGGCGAACCGTAGGTCGACTAGGATAGGCGCGACAATAGACACTCGATAAGAGTGACGTCTAGAGCCGGATCGTAACCTCACAAATGTAAGGCTTCTGTAAGACAAATCAGAGAGAGTGTCTCTGATTTGAATATCGATATCAGACACTTAAGATTGGGGATCTTAAGCGAAGGATGTTCTGGGTAAAACCTAGTAGATTAAAGTGAAGACTATCTAAGTACAAGACCGGCTTATATAGGTAAGGCCTGCTTTAGGGCCGGTACGTACACGTCATCGAGACGAGTCAGAGATAAGAGGAATGACGTCATCGAGACGAGTCAGAGATAAGAGGAATGACGTCATCGAGACGAGTCATAGATAAGAAAGAAGATGAGTCACCTAACGACGGCAGCGGCGATCGCGGTGTAATACAGATATAGAAAGCGCAGTCTACTGATGGCGCAACGTGGCGCGGTCATGACATAATACACAGGTAAAGAGAAAGAAAGAAATAGGGGGCAACCGTGACTGTAACATTACCCCTCATTTAGCGATGAAGTCACCGACTTCACATATCCTGATTAGCCCAGTAGACGGGGTCGGCATCGTAGTTAGAGTGGAGAAGATCGTCTTGCTCCTCCATGATAGTGAGAGGGTGTGCCAAGTGCTCAGCGTGAGCGATGGCATCTTGCTCAATCTCCCAACGAGCGAGTGCGTCGTAAAAACCGACGTCAGTCCAAACCAAAGGGATGACCGCCTCTCCTTTTAAATCTTTACAAAAGACAGATAGGTGACCAGGTGCGTATTCTTTGCAAACTCTGCAATAGTACGCGGGGCAGTTCTTGTGGCGATGGCCAGCGATGTGGCAGTTGCGACATACGACATTATCGGCTGGTGATGTCTTTACAACTGTGACGGAGGAGGACTGATTTGGAGGGGAAGGTGAACGTGACCTCTTGAGCGGTGGTTTGGTAGGGGAGGCAGATGCGGCTCGTTTGGCAGCAATACGGGAGGACCTTCGTTTAAGCGGGAATCGTCGCGTGGTGTGTACGACTGGGTCAGGAGAAGGAGAATTCGGTACGTCAAGTACGGCAATAGGAGGGATGTTATCATCCGGATGCTCCATGGCAGCGGGAGCGGGAATCGGTTGTGGTACAGGGATAATAACGTGGGGTGATGGTGGTCTTGCAACGGGGTTAAGGGCAATCCGTTCAGTGACGATGTGGATGGCTTCTCTAATAGCGTCTCTGGTCTCTTCAGGGAGAAGGCGGATGGCAGTGTTGCGAATTCGTATATGAAGATGACGAAAAATAGTTTGGTGACGTTCATCATCAAGGAGGGCGGCGGTGCGTTCGATAAGGCTAGCGTCTCTGATAATCCTAATTATGAGTCCACTGGAGATTGCTCCTCTTTCTCCGAGGAGACGATCAATCTCAATAGCGTACTGTTGAGAGGTGATAGCGGATTCAAACAAGGCGCTGGTTTCGACTTGGTCAATAACCGAAAAGTAATCGGTCAAAGTTGAGTCGTCGGTAAGGGTTAAAGTGGAGTCGGAAGTGGGCGGAGAGGGTGCAGGGGATGAGAATGCGTGTCGTGCTAAGTCGGCGGCGGTGGCGTTTTGATATTCTTGGAGTGTTACGGGGACTGTGTTTCTCTCTCTCTCGGCGGCGGCGTTCATGGCAGCGGTAATTTCTTGGATGCGGAGGATGCAAAGACGCAGACGTTCCATTCTGAGGGAGAGTCTATAATCCATGAGCCCTTTTATAGGCGTTCAGGATATCGGAAGCATTATCGAGATTCCCTTCTGGAACCCACTCGTTACTGGCTGACGAATACCCTTTCCATGATAAGAGATAGCGTCTTCGTTTACCCGTTCCTTTGTGCGATAAGATCGCATCAACTTCGTACTCTTCTTCGTTATCGATGACGTCAGGGGGTGGATCGTGGAAGTTCGGTCCGTGGATCTCTGTTTCGTGATAGGACGATAGTTCGGAAGCGTGGAACGTGGGGTGAACTTTCCATTGGGGTGGTAGCTGGAGTGTGAAAGTGATGGGAGATAGGACGGCGGTGATAGGGAATGGGCCATATCGTTTGGGAGCGAGTTTTCGCGAAGGCAACTGCGTGATTAAGTTCTTTCCGGATAACCAAACCTTATCTCCAACTTTCCAAGGATGATACTTCTGCCCATGAGTTCTTTCTGCCATACGTTGCATTGCAAGGTTGTGACAGGAGAGCGCTTCTTCTCTAGACTTCTGTAGCGTGCGGAGTCTATCTTCCGCGGCTGGGACCGTGGAGCTGGGGAGGGTGTGTGGAAGAGCTCGTGGCTCGTATCCCATCATCAGGAAGAATGGCGATGCATTGCGAGAGTCATGTTTGCGATGGTTATGGATGAATTCCGCCATAGGAAGTTGCTCTACCCAGTTTTCAGGGTTGTTTCGACAGTAGATCCTGAGATATGTTTCTAGCTCTTGATTGAGTCGTTCTGTCTGTCCGTCGGTCTGAGGGTGGTAGGCGGTTGAGGCCGCTATATCATACTTCAATAGTTTGGCAAGGGCTTGGGAGAACTTGGATATGAATTGTGGGCCGCGATCTGAAATGACTTTCTCGTGTAGGCCGAATCGCCTGTAGACGTATTTGAAAAATTTGTTGGCGACTCCTTCAGAGGTTATGGTTTTGGTACATGGGATAAGAATTACCCCCTTCGTAAGCCCATGGTCGACCACGACCATGACAGAATCAAAACCTGCACAGGGGGGAAGGTCTGTGATAAGATCAACCGAGACCTGAGTAAAAGGTGCTGCGGCGACGGAGGGAATAGGAACAAGGGGAGGGGTCGTCGGATGAGTATCGGACTTCATCTGCTGACAAAGGGCGCAACCCTCAACGTATTTACGGATATAGGTGCCCATAGCGGGCCACCAGAAATCTCGTTTAACCAGTTCTTCGGTCTTAAAACGGCCAGGATGACCGGCGGAGGGATGGTCGTGACAACGTTCTAAAATAAGATGCCGACCAGCAGGCCGGACGTAGGCGCGATCTTTGTAATAGAGGATATCATCGGTGATTTTCCAATCTGCAAGGGCAGATTTCATAGGAGGAAGGGATAAGCCGTCCAGTGCATCGGATGCGGCGGTAAAGATGGGGTCAGGATCAGAGGGGTCAGGGTTTACTAGGGTGGTCATGAGTTCGACGTCAAGAAGTCGGACAAACATGGAATCGGGGAGTAGGGTTTCATTGGTATTATCATCAGCGGAATCTGATCCATGGTCGGGACGGCGGGATAGGGCGTCGGGGGCGACCAGTTTAGTTCCTGCAACGTGGTGCAGCTCAATGTCGTAACAAGACAGAATCAACTGCCATCGTGCTTGGCGGCGGGTTAACTTCTGGGCCGTTCTAAAATATAGAAGGTTCTTATGATCGGTGAATACGATGACGGGATGGGGATTTCCTTCTAAGTAGTGACGCCATTCGGTCAATGCGCGAATAACGGCGAGGAGTTCGCGATCGAAGATCTGGTAGTTCCGTTCTGCGGGGTTCAACGTTTGAGACAAGTATCCACATGGATGGTAGACACCATTATCATCAGTTTGGAGTAACACTGCACCGGTGGCGACTAGAGA